TCATTTTCATTTCCAAAATATTTTGATTAGGCAAGCAGATTCTAGAGGTTCTTTCAGCGGAGTGTCACGCTTATTCTAACGCCCATAACGATAAAGTCTGTCTGGCGCCAACATTTTCAAAGATTTTGTTTCAGTGCAAACTGAAATATATTTAACGATTTCTTTTTGTGTTACACTATAATTTTAACCCCCTAGGGCCCAAGACCGCTTCTAGACGGGCAAACCTTAAAACATTTTGCTATTTTGCGTTTGCAATAGATGCAAGACCTTGCGTCAGTTGCTGCAGTCGCCTGAAGTTGAAAAAGTCTGCAGGTCGTCCTAAATAATTATTTTGTAAAAAGAGCGGATAAAAAAATTGTTTTTATATGTTTTCAAAGGTCCTCCGCAATATTTATTATTTATTTCCGTATTGTTGATAATACTAAGTAAGCAAAACAAAAAACAAATACAGAAAAAAAATGTTCGTAAAGTAAATCAACTCGAGGCATATTTAAGTTTAAATAATTGCTTCAGCAGACATGGAACGACGACACAGGCTAAGATGTCTTTCCGATGTGGAGATTAGAAATATTAAAATACAATTGAATTAGAAAATGATACGGACGTAGAAGAATTGGAGAACGATTTGACTGTTGATACTAACGAGTCAGCGTTTCCTGTTAATGAGGAAGATGAAGAGGCGATTAAAAAAGGTGTAAATATGACGGACTACATGCTGGCTGTAGAGGTTCGGTAACATCGAGGATATTCCACTGAACTTTGTGGATCTTCATCAGGAGTCGAAATGTCTTTGTCGGGTTGGAAGGACAAAAAGGCAGTGCGATTTGCTTCGACGATCGTTATACGATTACAGTGAAAAGAAACAAATACACAAATCGAGTATATGCTTGATTTAGTCATGGTAAATGCTTACATCGCATATATGTTTTGCAAGGTACAAACTCCTTCTCTAACAAACGGACCAAGGAGCCCAAGACCAGTTGAAAATGCAAAGAGCTACATAGGAAAGAAAACTTTTGTGCCGTCCAATGATGTACCTTGTGGTGGCGATGACCGTTTTCCTTAAATGCAACACAAGCCTGTGCCTTTCACAGCAAAAAGACTTTTTCTACGATTTTCATCACAAGTAAGAACACGAACTTTTTGTACAAAAATATTATGATGTTTTGTAAATTTAAGTTAATTTTAATTGTTATTTCTTTTGTTTTATAAGCCTTTATTTAATTAGTTTATAATAAAACGTGAAAACAACAACATTTTTGTGCTGAACATTTTTTGGCCTACTTTCCCAAAGCCTCCTCTAGGCGGTCCGAAGTTGAATTCCTATAAAACTCGATCGGTGAAAATTATAAAAATGTCCAGAACAAACCTTTACTCTTAAGATATGTCGAAAAATTTGGGCACGAGGGTTAATGAAACGATCTTTGTTGTAGTCAGAATTGATCTATGTATGTATGTATGTATCTTTATCCTATAATAATATGTCAGAAGTCTAATGATGAATAATAGCGAGGGAAAAAAGAAGGACAGAAAAATATTATTTAGAGTTGAAACTAAAGCTTCTCCCAGCACAACGGCGTTTTTTGGTCGTTTCCTGCACCGCACCGGGACATGACATCAGCCCCGACGCCGAAAAGCACTCCGTTGGCGCCGAAGCGAAGGCAGTTGAATCGGTACTCAAAGAACTGGCTGGCCAGAACCTTAAAAACCACCGACAGACAGACCTGCATGTTGCCCTCGCCGAAGGCCCTGATGTCGTAGAGCCGTAGGCAGCTGAAGAGCGGCAGCGGCAGGAGGAGCGGTACGCAGTAGTCGGGAGGATTGCGGGCCGAGAACCCAAAGTTTGCCACTGTGCGCTGGTTCAGCTCCACGCTCAGGCGCAGACCAAGGTCCGTCTTGCTGTACTCGAGAGAGGCACAGAGCCGCTGGTTGAGGGAACCTCCGAATCCCAGGGCCAGACCCAGGCAGCATCGGCAGGCGAGCTCGGCGCAGGAGCAGGGCTGCCACAACTGCGGAAGCTCCACGACGTTCCCGTTTACTGGCAGTTGCCTAGGGCCCCGCAAAAGGGCCAAATAGCGCAGCGGATCCAGCTCCCGGCCACTGGTCAGGTCGTAGAGCACCAGACGCGGCCCTGCACCCTGATACGGTGACTGCAGGGGCCCAGATGAGGGGAGGAACTGTGCCTGGGACGGCACTCCTAGCGCCGCTAGCACGCAGATCAGTCCATGGAAATCGATCCGTTGCCAGTTCATGGTTTCTAAAGTTGCAAGTGCAGGGGTTTTCCGGGAGCGTGTTCTCGGTCGCAATTGTCAAAACAGTGTGATGTACATATGTATATATGTACAGTTTGCCAACAGTGGAATTATTCCGAAGCCCCGACCGCTTTGCTGGCCCGCCAAATGGCTCGGAAAATGGTTATTGTCTTACATTAGTAGGCGTTGGCAGAGTGCGGCAGGCTAGCCGCAAAATTGTGTCAATGCTAGATCGATGCGATCAATACAGCTGTAGAGTAGAAGCTCGGTGGAGCTAATAGCTACGTTGATAACAGGGTGTTTTGCATTTGAACGATTTCCAGGCGTTACATGTGCGACCATGTGCAAACAGTAAATTGCACACACAGCCTGACCCTTCAAAGTGTGTCAAAATAACCTGCACAGCTCGATTTGCGCAAACGTACGGCAATATTGGTCATCTGCAGCTGTCCGTAGTCACCATCGGTCCAATAATTACGAAACGAACTACAGACATACATATATGTATTTACGGTCATCCAAACAAAGAAATACAATTTAACGCTTTATTAAGAGCTCCACGGATTAGATAAGGTCTAAGCGCTTTAGAAAAGGCTTATTCCATTCCATTACATAGGAAGATAACTTATTTTTTTAACCTTCACGTAAGTTTGAACATTAAAGGTGGACCTTGAATTGGCTCAGAGACACATTTACATACAGACATGCGGTTGAAAAATATACAACTTTTGATGCACATCTGAAAATGCGGGAGTTTACACAGCCGACTCAAAGGGCAACGACTATGTATATCAGCCTTCCAAAGATAACTTTTATAACTACCGGGAAAATAGCCTGTCGCAACTTTATTTCACATGAATGGTGAGGTAATTATAACCAAAAATGTATATTCGATTCGTGGTATGTATAGACCGTGTAAATCGAATATGCATATGTTCTTTATATGGTCGCAAAAGCTTCCTTTCCGACGAATCTTGTATACCTAGAGTAAAACTCTACAAGTAACGGATATATGTATGTAATTAAGTTGGGGTAAATGCGGTACTTAGTCTTAAAGGCTTGCAACCGCAATTTTATATCATGAATAAACGGGTAATATTGGGCAACGGTTGCAAGGGTATAAATACGTCAATATTATGGTCTCAGTTGTTTACTTTTTTTAAAATTTTAAAATTTTCTTTATTTAAAGAAGTAGAGTTTTCACAAAAATAGTGACGGTTCAGTAGTGACGTTAAAGCTGTGTTTTGATTTTGGGCTGCAAATGGCTAAGCTGCTGTTAAGCCGTTAAAAATGCCTTTCTGTCTTTCAAATTTCTTATTTTTTCGCGCAACGGCGGTATTCGGAATTCACTCACAAAATCTAAGAGGGCGGACAAGCAAATTTAGTTTTCCTGAAAATGAAATGGATTACAACGCAAAACTAAATACAATTTCAAAGCTATGATGTGGAAAGTTTTCAGCGCCCAATGATTTTCTCATTGCTATTAGCAAACAGTTGAAGGATGACAGTTCCGTATAGTAAAAATTGAATAGGAATTATTATGGGCTTTTAAAGTTTAAAACATGGGGAGAACGCTATAGTCGAGTACCTCGACTATCAGATACCCGTTACTCAGCTAAAGGGACCAAAGGGAAATGGAAATGCGCCACCTACCCGCGATCTCAATATATGGATATGTGGGCGGTAGACAGATTTAGGCGTTATGGGCGTTAGAGTGGGCGTGGCAAACTTTTTTCGAGAGGTATTGACGAGACTAATACATTTCAGTTAAAATTAAAAATAAAAGTGGGCGTGGCATCTTCGCGTAACAAACTTGCACTGCGTGCAAGGCTACGGAATCTTCTTCTATCTATCTTCTATAGTTTTTGAGATATCTGCGTTCATACTTACGTTTTTTTGAAGTATGTGGGCGTTAAAGTGGGCGTAGCAAACTTTTTTTTGGGGTCAATCGATAGGTATTCTAGCATCAAAACTGTAAGAGCCACAGTTTTGGGCGGTTTGAGGGCGTTAGAGTGGGCTTGGCACATTGCTGAAACAAACTTGCGCTGCGTAAGAAGCTCAGGAATCTGCACGTCAAGTCTCAATAGTCTTGCTCTAATAGTTTCCGAGATCTCAGCGTTCATCCGGACAGACAGACAGGCGGGCAGACGGACATGGCTAGATCGACTCGGCTAGTGATCCTGATCAAGAATATATATACTTTATGGGGTCGGAAACGCTTCCTTCTGCGTGTTTTATACTTTCCGACGAATCTAGTATACCCTTTTACTCTACGAGTAACGGGTAAACCTTCGCCAAATTAAATTCACTAACATTAAAATGGTCAAAATGTAGTCTACCTTTAAGGTTCAATATTTTATTGCAGTAAACAGCATAAACTTTTCACAAGCCCATAAGGTACGCTACGAGAATTTTCACATTTTCTAACTGATTTCAACCTTTCAAGTATTTACAACACCTATCTCGCATACGTTTTTATACCAAATGTCTTACTTTTCAGAGAACATTTGAAAACGAGTAGAAATACGTATAATGTTGTGGTGAAACAGTTGCCGGGTCTTTTCGAGAATTACATAGGCGTTATGTATTTATGTTTACTTTTTAGCAATAATTTGCAGCTGGTTTTGCAACAGCGGCAGCCAGTGTGAGCATGGTCCAATAACTTTTTTGCTGATGTGTCACTCCATACCGATAAAAGTGACGTATAAGTATCGATAGAGCGCCAGCATTGCGGAAAATGTTATCGGAGTTAACTGAGTCCGCTCACACCTTCAATGGAACCTGCACCACCGCAGCCCTGCGCATTCTTTTTATTTTGTTTTTAGCCATATCCAAAATGTTGTAGTTCTGTAAATAGGGGCCAGAAAGTACAAGGCAAATAGTTTGCAACCAAATATAACCTACTTGCGTTGTCCACCAGCAAAATGGGCGAGTTCTTTAAATCGCTCAACTTCAACTATTTCTCCTCCAGCGATGGTGCTCCATCTGCCAACGGGGCTGCAGGAGGCGGAGCAGCAGGTGCCCTCGGGAGCAGACTGGACAACGACTTCGTGGGCCAGGTCGTCGAGGTGGCTGGCCATAGACTGCGCATCAAGTGTGTTATCGCGGAAGGTGAGAGACGTGGGCGGAAAAAATCAATAGGATGCGTAGCCAGCAGCCACCAATTGTGAAAAGTGAAGACAGAACCAAACACTTGGCTGTGCTTTGTTTACGCTTTCTAATTTCGTGTTGAGCTGTTCCGTTTCGCCTTTTTTAGTCAACATCCTCATTTTGGCCACTTACTCGGTTACTCATCAACCCGTCGGGTTTCTGGACCTATGAGTCATACCTCTCCAAAGTGATCGGTTTTCACAAACAAGTTCTTATATAAGAACGGCACTGGATCCATATGATGGTTACCAACTCTAAACTGAGACAGAGAGCAGAAACATACATAAAACACGTACATACATACATAGATAGCGGGTTATAAGCTGGCAACTCCCATTTTTCTCGTGCCCCTGCAATTAGCATTTAAGCAGACCCTTATCTTCGCTTTGTTATCAACATCCTCTCTCGCTCTCACCCCTTTTTTAGGCGGATACGCCTTTGTGTACGTCGCCCAAGATGTCCAAACCGGAACCGAGTACGCCCTCAAGCGTCTGCTCGGGGCTGATCAGCAGTCCTGCACTGCCATTATCAACGAGATCGGGATCCACAAGCAGGTCTCGGGCCACGGAAACATTGTCGCCTTTATAGGCTCCAGTTATACTGCGCCGTCATCGCAACTCGGGGCACAGTACCTTCTACTCACAGAACTGTGCAAAGGTAAGCGCGACCTTGGTCTCCAATCTGCCTATATATATAAATAAATTTATAAATTTTTGTATGCTTTGCAGGGGGGTCCTTGGTGGACTGCTTTAAAACAAACAATGCTACCATCGAACCGTCTTTGGTGCTGCGCATCTTTTACCACATGTCGCGGGCCGTGGCCTGCCTGCATTCACAGTCGCCGCCGATCGCCCATCGAGACATAAAGGTGAAAGTGCTACAAAAACTCAACTCCCTCCGTAATCATGTGCGATTCCGTTGCAGATCGAGAATTTTTTAATTGGTAACGACAAACAGATCAAGTTGTGTGACTTCGGCTCTGCCACCAAGGAGGTGCTCTCACCTACGTTTGAGTGGAGCGCCAACCAGCGAAGCATGCTAGAAGATCAGCTTAACACCGTGACTACCCCAATGTACCGGGCTCCCGAGATGCTCGATACTTGGTCCAATAACCCAATCGGTCCCAAGGCGGACATCTGGGCTCTTAGCTGCATTCTCTACTTCTTGTGCTACCGCAGACATCCCTATGAAGATGGCGGCAAACTACGAATCATCAACGCCAATTATATACTTCCTCCGGATCCTCAGTACCAATGTTTCCGCGATATCATAAGAGGCTGTTTCAAAGTGAACCCGGTCGAGCGCCTGGACATTGACATGGTGCTCGAACGCTTGGCAGCCATCGCGGAGACAAACAACTGGTCGCTGAAAGGGTCCATAGACCTGCATGGAATTCCTATCGAATCCTTACCGGCTGAAAGTCCCGCTCGAAAAAATTCTTTTCATTCGGAGTTTTACACCGAATCGTCTAGTACGACTCCTCATGCAGCGTCCCCCGCAACAATCGCTTCCTCCTCCACTAATGGACACGGGAGACTGCTGTCGTCGCTGCGCGGTGGCGCTGGAACGTTGTTTAAAAACATAAAGGACACATCCACCAAAGTGATGCAGACAATGCAGCAATCAATCGCCCGCAACGATCTCGACATCAGCCACATCACCTCTCGGATCCTGGCTATGCCCTGCCCATCTGACGGATTTGAGTCGGCGTACAAGACGAATAACATCGAAGACGTTCGTTTATCTCTGGAGAGTCGGTTTGATCCAAACAAAATAAGCATTTACAACTTTGGCCAACGTACAGTACCGCGGTTACCACCACCCGTGCGGACAGTTGAGGCAGGTTTCGTTTATGGGTGCACACAGGCTCATGCTCCCAATCTGCAGGTATGTAAAGGGGAAAAAATTAATTTGATTTTTACTAACTAAAAATGTATTGCATCATGTAAATATTTACTTTGATTTGGGTGCGTAAATTGGGTAATACTCTAGATGAAGGTCTGTCCCCCGAAATTCGTGAACAATTTATCGATGGACCGCGGTTTCTTAGGAATTTACATGCAGAAAAAACTTTGCGGTCAGCCATGGTTCTCTTGTAATTGAATTTCAAAGTTCCCAGTTTAATTTTTACGCAAATTTTTTGGGTGAGTCCCGTCTTCAAGAGTGTTACCGTATTTTGCAGTGGGCGGCTCAGCGATGTGTGTGTGACGACTGCTGTTGTACGCTGGCAGAGGCTGTGCAGACCCTGCAGAACCAATCATCAGTACCCCCACAAAAAACTTCGATGTTCTTGTCATACAAATGATTTATCATTTCATGATAAATTCATAAACCTTTAATCGGAACGTCATCGACCAAAATCAAACATTAACAAGAAAGGAAGTTAACTTCGGCAAGCCGAAGTTTGTATACCCTTGCAGTTTTAATTATTAAATTTAATTCGAAATACTTAAAAATGCATAAAATGATATCCCCATTAGTAGCTATAATTTGTTTCATATTATTTTCCCACCATATGATATAGTCGTCCGATTTTGATAAAATTAAATTCAGAACTTATTAAAAAATGTTTATATACTACCTGCAAAAGAAAAAAGACTTTTGGGAAAGTTTCAGCCCGATGTCTTTAAAACTGAGAGACTAGTTTGCGTAGAAACGGACGGACAGACGGACATGGTTAGATCGAGTCGTCTGGTGATGCTGAGCAAGAATATATATACTTTATGGGGTCGGAAACGTCGACTTCACTGCGTTGCAAACTTCTGAAGAAGAGATTCGAAGAGATAATATATGAGAGTAAGGGAATTTCGGATTTGACACGATTGTCGAATTAGAACGTCGGCTCGGCCGACTTCGAAGTCGGTACATTAATGGCACGTGATGTCATTGGCCTATTGTTGACATGTGGAACTGCATGGTAGCCTTTTCTTATGCCCGCTTAATGGGTCGCAGCCGACTGCAGGACTAAATGTTAATTTAGTCTCCCAGCGCTCAGTACGGAAAAAATAATTTTAACATAGGGTTTCCTAGCGTGTAATTTATTTCGAAAGGTATTGACAAATCAAATAAAATTAAATTTACATGAAATGAAGTCTTCAAATTGTGGCCGCCAGAAACTTTCGCGATTTGTGGGCGTAAGAGTAGACATAAGCCTTATAAGCACTAGTGAAATCTGCAAGACAACTTTTATCTTGCAGCCGTAACATGAGAGAACGAGTCGAGTGCCCCGACTATCAGCTACCCGTTACTCAGCTAACAGACTTTAAAACAAAACAAGAAAGGAAGTTAACTTCGGCAAGCCGAAGCAGGTATACCCTTGCAGTTATAATTATTAAATTCAAAACAAGGAAGAACGCTATAGTCGAGTACCTCGACTATCAGATACCCGTTACTCAGCTAAAGGGACCAAAGGGAAATGCAGATATGCAAGCAGCCAAGCGATATTGAAATGCGCAAATTTTTGAATCAATCGATAGGTATTGACGAGACCAATACATTGCAGTTACAATTTTGTATCTAGCATGAAAATTGTGGTCGTCACATGTTTGGGCGGCTTGTGGGCGTTAGAGTGGGCGTGGCATATTCGAGTAACAAACTTTCGCTGCGTACAACACTACGGAATCTAAATCTGAAATTCCAATTCTCTATCTTTGATATTTTACGAGATATCCGCGTTCATATTTACGATTTTTTGAAGTTGGTGGGCGTTAAAATGGGCGTGGCACGCTGCTGAAACAAACTTGCGCTGCTGAAACAAACTTGCGCTGCGTAAGAAGCTCAGGAATCTGCACGCCAAATCTCAATAGCCTAGCTCTTATAGTTTCCGAGATCTCAGCGTTCATCCGGACACACAGACAGACAGACGGACATGGCTAGATCGACTCGGCTAGTGATCCTGATCAAGAATATATATACTTTATGGGGTCGAAAACGCTTCCTTCTGCCTGTTACATACTTTCCGAAAAATCCAGTATACCCTTTTACTCTACGAGTAACGGGTATAAATACAAAAAATGATATTCACAGTACTATAAGATAATATGTCAGAAAATACCGAAGCTATAATTTGTATTGTTTAATATTATTTTCCCACCAATTTTCCGATCGTTCCAATGGCAGCTATATGGTATAGTCGTCCGATTTTGATAAAATTTAATTCGAAATTCAAAACTAATTAAAAAATGTTATTTCCAAGCTTAGGAGGTTATATGTTAAAAACACTTAAGCTATAACTTGTTTCATATTATTTTTCCACCAATTTTCCGATCGTTCCTATGGCACCTATATGATATTTTAATAAAATTCAATTCGAAATTCAAAACTAATTAAAAAATGATATTTCCAAGCGTAGGAGGTTATATGTTAAAAAACATCAAAGATATATATTTTTTTTCCGATTATTCCCATGGGAGCTATAAGACATAGTTGTCCGATCAAGACTGGTTCATACTTATATACTACCTGCAAAAGATATAAGACTTTTGGCAAAGTTTCAGCCCGATAGCTTTAAAACTGAGAGACTAGTTTGCGTAGAAACGGACGAACAGACGGTCAAGGCTAGATCGACTCGTCTAGTGATGCTGATCAAGAATATATATACTTTATGGGATCGGAAACGTCTCCTTTAATGCGTTGCAAACTTCTGGCTGAAATCATTATACCCTCTGCAAGGTTATAAAAAGGAAGCTAACTTCGGCAAGCTGAAGTTTCTATACCCTTGCAGGTCGTTCCCATGGCAGAATTGTATATACTATACAGAGCTTTCCCATTTCCAGAAAACTTAAAAAGTAATTACAGAAATGTTAAGATAATGTTCCATTTCAATTTACTACCGTATATGTTTACCGAAAACGAAATATAAAGGTATTTCTATTGTTTTGACATAAATTTTTCGATCCTTCCTTTGGCAGTAGTAGTCTGATTTTTATTAAATTGAAATCGTAATTCTGAAATATTAAAAAAAACAAGAAAGAACGCTATAGTCGAGTACCTCGACTATCAGATACCCGTTACTCAGCTAAATGAAGATATGCATGCAGCAAAGCGAGATTAAAATGCGCCACCTACCGGCGGTAGACAGATTTAAGCGTTATGAGCGTTAGAGTGGACGTATCAAATTTTTTGATCAATCGATAGGTATTGACGAGACCAATACATTTCAGTTAAAATTTTTATCTAGCATGACAATTGTGGGCGTCACAGGTTTGGGCGGTTTGTGGGCGTTAAAGTGGGCGTGGCAAACTTTTTTATGTCAATTTATTGATCATTCCTGTGGGGAGCTAGGATATAGTTGTCCCGATCCGGTCCGTAAGAATTTGGAAGGAAAGACTGATCTAGAATATATATACTTATATGGTCGAAAAGATCTTCTTCACTGTATTGCAAACTTCTGACTGAAATCATAATGCCCTTCTGCAAGGGTATAGCAAGAAACAGGGCTGTTAACCAACTTTAGAATAAAATTTCATAGCATATATTTTAGCGCGTTAGAGTGGGCATGGCTCTCCGCTGGTAGAAAACTTGCCACTGCTCAATATCCCAACGGACTCTGCTGGCCAGTCCTTTATATACTTTATTGGGTCGGAAACGCTTCCTTCTACCTGTTATATTTCCGACGAATACAATATCAAACAGAAACACCTCTTAACGAGGTAAAAATCTAAGGACGATCGCACCTTCAACAAACAATAGTTCTGATATCAGCTCTTGTGACGAAAATGATTTATACGATTTACTAAATAAATACAATTTCTTAATTTTTTTTACATTCGGCATATTGAATAGCAGCGTCCGAATGTAAACAAATTAAGAATTGAGCTGTTTAAGATCATCTAAAAATTTTCAGGCAATTTATAAAAAGTTTGGGACGAAAAAATAAAATCAATTCTCCAATTAAAAAAAAAAGGTTTAGAAAATCTTAATAAAAAACTTTTGCCCATAATTTTTAAACGGTGGTGTTCATACAAATCGTGTTAGAAAGGCGTACATAGTATTTCGAAATACCCTTTCTAATAACATATATCACAAGCTATATCACAAGTTACGGGTGTACCAAAATTTAGCTATTTATAGCTATTTTCTCGTCAAACTAGCTAGTTTTTCCAAAAGTGTAGAATTCATGTTTCTTATATTGAGCTGTTTAACGTCGTCCTAGAATTTTCAGGACTCTAAAATACGTTTTGGGACAATATGACAAAACTGACAAACAAAATAATAATTTTTACTTTGAGAAGTCCCCAAAATCTTGTTTTGCGAATTACTTTTTAAACCGAATCATCCGATTTTAACAAATGGGGTGTAATTCGACGCGTATTTTATCCCCAACGGCCACAAACAGATCAATTTTTCACGTTTACACTTTAGCCTCTCTTTCTCCCAAACCTCGTTACTAGCCCACGTAGTATTTATACCCGACTCGTAGAGTAAAAGGGTAATACTAGAATTCGTCGGAAAGTATGTAACAGGCAGAAGGAAGCGTTTCCGACCCCATAAAAGTATATATATTCTTGGAGGATCAATATACATATATTCTCAGGATCACTAGCTGAGTCGATCTAGCCCATGTCCGTCTGCCCGCCTGTCTGTCTGTCCGGATGAACGCTGAGATCTCGGAACTATTAGAGCTAGGCTATTGAGACTTGGTGTGCAGATTCCTGAGCTTCTTACGCAGCGCAGTTTGTTTTCAGCAGAGTGCCACGCCCATTCTAACGCCCAAAACGGTGGCTCCTACAGTTTTGATGCTAGAATAAAAATTTTAACTGGAATGTATTGTTCTCATCAATACCTAATCGATTGACCCCAAAAAAAGTTTTGCACGCCCACAAACCGCCTAAACCTGTGACGCCCACAATTTTCATGCTAGGTACAAAATTTTAACTGAAATGTATTAGTCTCGTCAATACCTATCGATTGATCAAAAAAAATAGTTTGCCACGCCCACTTTA